CTCCCTCCCTCCCTCCCTCCCTCCCTCCCTCCTTCCTTCCTAGTAGTTAGAATGCAGTATTGTAGACTAACTCTGCCCACTGTTAGCAGTTTGAACCTCATCAGGCTCCAGGTTGCCTCAGCCTTCCATACTTCCGAGGTGGGTAAAATGAGGACCCAAATTGTTGGGGGCAAGAGGCTGACTCTGTAAATCGCTTAGAGAGGGCTGAAAGCCCTATGAAGCGGTATATAAGTCTAACTGCTATTGCTAAATGTGATTGGGCGCACAAGGAATTTGTCTCGGGTGCAGAAGCGCTCAGTGTAAATACAAGCAAGAAGTGATAAATCGTGATCATCATCATCATCAGATCGCAAGTTACAAAGACCAAGGCGGCCGTCTCAAGAGGCTCAAGGGATGGGTAACGGTTGGGAAGAGAAGCGCCCCTCGCTGAGCCTGTCCGCCCTCCCTCTCTTGATGCTCTGCCCGCCACTCTCTCTCTCTCTCTTTCCAGAGTACGACAGCGACTCCTCCTGCCATTACAAGACGGAGCGCAGCTATGAGAACTTCATCATCTCTGGCCCAGATCTTCACCCTCCGCCCATCGCGGACGACGAGAGCGACGATGACGACGACGACGACGTCCCCCGGGTGAGCAGAGGGAGACGCCCCATGCTGGAGCAGCCGTGCGGTGGCTTTGGGGGTGAAGGAGAAGAAGGACCCCCGTCCCCGTTCGTGGCTGGGCAGCGCTTCCGAGGCGGGGCGGGTGCCTTTCCCCCTCCTCCTCCTCCTCCTCCTGCCCCCTCAGCAACCCCCCCCCTTCCCCTGCAGGAGGACCACTACGCCCTGCTGGTGAAGGCCTGGGAGACCAAGGTCTTCCCCACCATTAGGAGGCGTTTCCGCAACGAAGCCGAGAGGAAATCCGGCCTGGATCAAATTAAGGGAGCTTTGCAGTTAGGTAAATGTAGAACATTCCCCTTTGAACTCCGACCCCAGTCCCTTCCTCGGCTCCCCTGCTGCCCCTCCCTCCTTTCTCGTGGCGGTTTACGGAGTTTCACGAGAGGTTTTGGTGCGTCTGCTGGCAATTCTGGGCAGGGTGACCCTCCCCTCGCCCCCCCCCCCATCCCTTACAAGAGCCAAGGTGGCGCAGTGGTTAAATGCAGCACTGCAGGCTACTGCTAGATCAGCAGGTCAGCGNTGGAAAATTAAAAAAAGTATATTTTCAAAGAGTCAAGTCTTCTCAGGCGTTTAGGCTGGATTATTGTGACAGAAACAAATATTATTCTGGTGGGAGTAAAGGAGAGGCCACCTGGAAAATATTGTGGATTAAAAGGACAGGACCAGACTGTTGTGATCCCAATTCAAATCCTTCCTGGATTTGAAGACTACCAAGCCGATTTGTCATCCTCAACCTTGCCTGGTTTCCTTGGTGATTATAAAGAGTAGCAAGGAGGATGAGACAAAACCTTGGTCCTCTCCATAGTTACTTCAAGGACACGCAGGAAAAAAAAGCAGCTAGGAATCCCTTGCCTCTGTGGGTTGACCACCATTGGCCCCTCAGAAGAAGCAGTTGGGGTATTGATAGCAGCTGACACTAGAAATGTGGCTTTAGAGACCTCCTGGCAGGAGAGAGTCTGAAGAGGCTCCTTCTGGCTTTCTTTGCAACCTTCCAGGGGAGCGGCTCCTTGTGGTCGAAGCGCAGTGCGAAAGGTTACGGATGCTCTACCGTGATAGCGCTCGCCCCCCTCCGCCCCCCCTCCAGGCAGACCGAAGACAGGTAAATGCAGAGCAAGGAGGTTGGGCTAATGCCTTCTCTGGACCATGGCAAAGTCACGCCCACTCCCCCCCCCCAGCCATAAACCATCACACGCACTGGATTCAAGACTGCCCCCTGGTCAAGGATACGGTTCCTCGGGTGTTGCGGTCAGCAGATCGTATAATCTTGACCGTTATGATTAAACGCAGCTCCGTGTCTTCTTGGTTCAGCCTAAAGAAATCACCTGGAGCCCTTCGAGGGTCTTCCCACCTGTGCGGGCCTGCATGTTCTCCTCCCACCTCACTGCGGTGACCTTCCTGGCGGACCCCAGCGCAGGGGGAGGGCTTCCTCGGGGCACCTTCATTTACGCCACCTCGGCAGTTCCTGTGCAGGTGAGCATTCACAGAGGGCACCGCGACCGTTCTGGAAGGCCACCGCGAAGCGCTTGGCTCACCCGCGGACGCTCCTTTCCCAGGCCCCCTCTTTCTACTGGGAGATCGAAATCGTCTCCTACGGAGATGCAGATGACGACACGGGGCCGATCGTCTCCTTTGGCTTTGCCACGGAAGCTGAGAAACGCGACGGGGCGTGGACCAACCCCGTGGGCACCTGCCTCTTCCACAAGTAGGTTTTGGAGATGTGAGAGCAAAAACGGGGGGGGG